AAGTCCTGGGCAGGTGGCTTCTCGTCACCCTTTTGTTCTTGCTTTGGCTTGGGCTGGTGCTTTGGCATGGGTGGCGGGTACTGCTCCACTTCTGAGACCACGCGCCGAGGCTTCGCCTTTGCAGATGCCTCAATGCACAAAAATTCAAAGTGTAATGTAGTTGCTGCCCAAGCTCTGAACGCCATCGAAAGCGCAGCTTTCTCCTGAGCCATAGCCTGCCAGCGATCAGTTTGTTTGATCCCCCTGCCCCAATAAATGCGTGAATGCACCTGCTCCTTTCCGCCAGCTGAGGTCTCCATCTTGAGTTGAAACGCTACGGTTAGAAACGCAAATGTTCACACACTTATATGGATATGCTAAGAAACCTAAATCCTGAAAAGTCCAGGAGAGTCCTAAGGAACCTGGGGGTCTGTAAGAAGAGGTGAGGCCAAAAGCTCAAGGTCGAAGACGGCGAGCGAGTCGAACAGGTTGACGGCGGTCCGTGCACATCTGCAGAAAGTGAACCAAAGCCCTATACAACACCATGTCTTGAGGTTCTGGGCTTAGCCTCATGCCATTCAGAAGACTCGGAAAATGGCAGGTACGTTCGGATGATCAGTCCGAATATCCCACTTTGTGACCTAGCTTCGTTGAACTGGGTCAGTCACAGAGTGCCCAGTTCCGCTGCTGAACAACTCAAAAACTCAAAACTCAAAACTCAGAAAGCGAGAACAATCCGAAAGGATTTTGTGTGATTCCAAGGGTTACACACACGCACACACTCATGACCCGTTAGTGTGAACATGTACATGTTTCGAAGACATGCTCATGCTCATGGCGTGGTTCCAATTTACCATGGTCATGCTCACGGCATGGTTTCTACTATGCCAATGCACATGCTCATGCTCATGGCATGTGTTCTATGGTCGTATTTCAGGGTTCAGGTAACACACATTACAGTAACACACTACACAAAGACCTCTTCCAGCGCGCAACAGCACTTGATCTGAGGCTAAAGCTGACAAGGACCCCAAGCACAGCGCTCCCCCGCTGTGAGCCCAAACTTGCCCACAAACACAAAATGAACTCTTGTTGCAGGGGTTTTCAAAGCCGATAGGCCATATCAACCTCAAAACCCTTCGTAAATGACATCTACTTGAAAACCCTCAGACACGCCAATGTGGGGAGAGCCTTGGAGGGGGCCGCTGGCAGACCCTCAGCCTTGAGGAAGAAGCCGCGCGGGGGACCCAAGGAGGCTCAGACTCGTGGAAAAGGTCAAGGAGATCGTGCAAACCAGCCCAAGGACATCAGGAAGTCGCCAAAAGAAAAGAAGCCTGCGCCCGCTCACTCCGCTGCCGGACACTGAGGGCCAGGCTGGATCAAGTCAGGAGGCGTCAACAAGGCTTGGGACTTGGACAGGGAGCTCTGACAGGTGGAGACCACTTGGATGCAGAGGCGGATGGAGATGCCAGCCCTGCTCGGGGAGGTTTGGGAACCTCGACCAAGTTGGGGTCAACGAAAGGAGCGGCTGGCTTGCGCCGAGCTGCCCTGACCAGTGGAGAAGGTCAGGAGGAGGAGCAAAGAGAAGATATTTTGAAGCCCTTGAGGATGATGAGCAGGAAATCGAACGTGGCGTCTTCCCTGGCGCTCCAGGCAGCCAGGACCTCAGGAAGAAAGATGGGAAGAGGAAGAAGAAGAAGAAAAAGGAGAAAGCAGTAGAGGCGCTGCAGGCGATTTTGGGGGGAAAAAAGAAGAAGAAAAAGAAGAAAAAGAACAGAGGAAGAGAAGGAGGCGACCCAAGTGGATCGCGTCCCTCTTCAGAAGAGGGGGACTCTTATTCCAGCGGAGGAGACGTCGACAGCAGCGAGACAGACAAAGAGGATCTCCTTCCGCCCCTGAAAAAGAGCAGCGAGAAGACGGAGGGCTCAGTGCTGAGCCTTCTCATCGAAAGGATAGAGGCCCGTCTCAAAGAGCTCAGCGGTGCTGGAGAAAGCTCGGATCGAAAGGTCGTGACTTACTGGCATACCCTGATCCAATCAGGGGCGTTCTCCCAACAATCCCGAGACGGGAGGGAGACCTACTTGTTGGCAAATGTCATCGACCTACTTCGAGTAGGCCGCCTTGCAAAGTTAGGAGACGCGCTCGCGGCTCGTTGGCTTGCAATAGAGCAGGCGAGCCTGGACCAGCAATGGTCGGCTGCCAGGCATTTAGAACTGTATTCTCCGGATCAAACCTCGGCAGCGGGGCAGGCCATCACGTTGGCGGCCAGGAAATTTTCCAAGATGATGGAACGCGTCACACAACCCGACGATGATGGGAAGGGGCGCGTGAGAAAGGGCAAAGGCGGCAAAGGAGATGGGGGCTGGCACGACGCCGAGCCCTGGTGGAAAAAGAGGAAAGGAGGAAAGGATGGAAAGAGAGGAAAGGAAAAGGAGAAGGCAGAGGCCATTCGCGTGTTCGACGAGCTAGCCCTGCTTTTTCCCGATACCCCTACCGAGTTCTTTGTGGAAAACGTGGCAAGCATGGATGTGGAAGTGAGAGGTCAGTTGAGCGAAATGCTGGGGGTCACCCCTTACCCTGCCCGAGCAGCCAAGTCCCGAACTCGTGGCCCCGGTTCTGCACTCACCTTGGTGACAAGATCAGGATACACAGAAGTACAAGTAGACGGTGAGTGGCGAGATGTAGATCAATGGCTCAGTCCTGGATGGGAACAAGTTGATGAGTCAACTATTTATACTACATTTATGAAAGCTATACATAGAACCAGGCCGCCTCCCAAGCCCGCGGGCCTGAGCAGAGCTGACTCAATGACTCGTCGGGCCTGGTGGGAGGATCACGGTTTTAGGTACCCCCCTTACCAGTATCGTTTTGAGTACCTAGTATACAACCCTGACTCTGACCAGACCAGGATGCTAGATTCCTCGGAGCGAGAAGTTTTGATGGGGTATGGCTTTGGGCACACGTGTATGGCGATGTCAGCCTCCACGAGAGATGCAGCTTAGTAGGTGATAGCTTCTCGGTTTGGTCCTTTGTGCTCTTTGCCGCGGCAAGTGTCTCCAAGTACGCTGGTATGTTTGACCCCCAGGTCCTTTTCTCCCGAATGGGGCTCCCTCCAGGGAGCTCTCTGAGGCTCCCGCTGGCTTGCCCGTTGCAGAGAGGTTTGGCTTTTCCGGGAACCTGGACCTATGCAGGGGTTTCAGAACTGAATAGAATTTTGGGAAGCAAAACACGGCACACGGGGTCGGACATCCGAGTTTGAACCGGTCAAATTTTGAACCCGAAGACTTTTCCGCGACAGAGTGTGGAAAGCATTTGGTGGACGTGGCAGCCAGTGTTCAAGGTACGATGGAATGGCGCAGAGCACATAAATGCTTTGGAAATCAGATCCATCTACCTGTCCCTCTTATGGAAGACAATGCAGCGGAAGTTCACCAACCGGCGTTTGTTTCATTTGAGTGATAGCGATGTTGCCATTTCTATTCTTAGCAAAGGCAGCCATAAACTCCAATTCATTTGTAGGAAGATCGCGGTGCTGCTGTTGTCAGGGCATGGGCTGCTGAATTTGGCACATGTGGATAGCGCTGACAACCCTACAGATGAAGCTAGCAGATCGTGAGTCTTTGCGCCGCCATCGTAGGCGTAAGCGTAAAGGTCTATCGCTCCACGATCGTGCCATTACGACCAAAACCAGGATTAGGTATTTCATTGCGGTGGCAGCTATTCTCCCTCTTTTGGAAAAGACTACCCGTGACTTGGATGAATTCCTAGTAGATTGGATTGATGGCGAATATCAGTCAGGCAGCAGCATCACTAGCGTCGCAGACACTCTGTCAGGTTTGCATCATTTTCTCCCTTGGAGCCGCGGGAGGATCAGAGGAGCCTGGAAATTGTATGGGCTCTGGCGAAAAATTGAAAAGCCAAAACAAGCTCCGCCCCTTCCGGTCCAAGTCGTGGGAGGGCTAGTGGGGCGCTGTATTGCAGTTGAACACTTGAGGCTGGCTCTCTGCCTTTGCCTTGGGTTTTGGGGGCTGCTCCGGACGGGAGAACTTTTTGAAGTTCGCCTCAACCATCTCTTGATTCAAGGCAATATTATGGTGGTACGCCTTGGAGAAACAAAGACTGGACTCAGGAGGCAAGTAGATGAGAACGTCATTGTCCGGCATGCGCCCTCCATCCTCATTGCACAGACTGTCCAGGAGCTCTCTTTTTCCCGAAACGAGTTGGTATGGCCTCTTTCAAAGGCTGAATTTCGTAACCAATTTCGTCACCTCGTAAAGTTTTTCAATTGAAATCGGCCTTCAGGCCGTATTCCTTAAGGAGGGGTGGAGCCACGGAGGATTTTCGGCGGCCTCATGGAGCGCTCCCTCCTTAAGGGAAGGTGGGGGGCTCCTCGGGCGCTGCAAGGCAATACATTCAAGAAGGTCTATCTATGCTTACAAAACTGTCCTTAACCCCCCACACCCGTTCCCTACTGCGTCACTATCGTCCTATGATGGCCTGTAAAAGGTCCGGTACAGGGGACGTGGAAGACTGCCGGGCTGAGCTTGGAAAATGAAAGCCCTTCTGAGGCAATGTAAACGGCTTGCCATAAAGGCGTGCCCGCAGAGGCAACTGGCCTACAGAGCCATAAATCCTTTTTGGATAGCCCGACAGAGGCTTAGCCATGATGCCTATATAGGCTTGGCTTGAGAAAGGGTGTTTAGTGGAGCACTAAACACGAAGACCTTCAGGTGAGCTGGCCAAAAGGGGAGTGAGTGCAATATATACACTATTCTATACTATTCTTATCTATTCTTACTAGCTATTCTTACAAAATTGTAACCATACGAACAGATCGAGCAGACTGTGAGCTTTGCTCTTTCTTTTGGAGCCTGTCCTTTTTTCACAGATGTTGACTTGAGCGGTACCCCTAGAAGGTTTGGGACATTAAATGACTGGAGTTCTGTGCAGAGATCTCAGATATCACAGATTGGCGTCTAGTTTTAGTCCCTGAAAGCCGGCTCCGACCTGCGTGCTTGCAGGCCTCGGAGCGTTCTATGCGCGCTCGGCTGCCTGCTTCACGCCATCCAAGATGACCCTTCACGGCTTGGGCTGTGGCTCGACTATATAAGTCACAGCAAGAATAGTCCCTGCCATTGCCGCTTTGATCGAATCTTCTAGGATTCTTTTAGAACATATTGTACGGAACAGCAGACCTTTGTGCTTGACCTAAATGCGGATTCTTCCTGACGATTTGTTGGTGAGAACAGCCGAACCGCATTTCTTGTGCTGGTCCTGCATGCTCTGTGCCAGCTACTGTTTGGGAGACGTTTTTTTGGGCCGAGGAGCATTGACACCATCATGCAGGCCAGTCGAACAGTCCAGATGCCTTAACACATGCTGGCCAGTCCTCTGGACCTCAGCACTAGGTCAGTCGAAGACTTGTGCGGACTGAGCTGCGGAGGGTGAGACCTGCGACATGAAGGTTGTTGGACCATCGAAACGTTGAAGGGATGACAAGGTCCATCAACGTTTGATATTCCAAATCGAGATCTTTGAGGGGAGGACAGCCAGCAATGATGGAGTCACTGGAGTCGCCCAGACCCTCCCCCCAAGTGGACTTCATGCGTCCGTAGCCGAGTGCTACAAATCGAGCGACACGAGGATCGGACTTGAAGTATTTTCAGGAATTGATGCTCACTCATTCCTTAGATGAATTCTGTTCCATCACACCGCTCAATTTGTTTTCTGATAGGGATGGGGCCTGCTCGGCAGACGGTCATACCGGGTCATATTTCGTCCAGGTGGACGTCCAGAGGAACTCGGATCCCCTCATGAGCGACGGTGCCGCTGAGTTCCCCTCCGATTTTTTTGTAGGTCCTACGCAGCACAACGGAGCCTGCAGAAGTCCTGAAGAAGTTGGTGGTGGAGGCCACCCAGGGCGTCATTGATCGTCCGATGTTTCACTAGAACTGTTTCTCTGAGTGTCACCATCGCCCCATCAACTCTCAAGTATCCTCTCCCCTCGTCGTGAGTGTTTGCGACATATGATCGTATCAATGTCTACTTGAAAGGGGATACTGGCAGCGCAACATGCGCAAAGGATGTAACGCAGGGATCTTTTCTTGGTGAAGCAGCCTGTTTTTGCTAGACGATGCCATCATTGTCTCACATTTGTTGCAAGTGGCCCCCTGCCCGTGGCGTGTTTTGCAGAGCATCGCTCGCATGTTTGTTTTGCCTGTGTGTGCTATTGGGATCAACTTTGACCCAGACTCAAATCACTGTTCTATCACTTGCAAAATGTTCGATGTTTGCTTGTATGTATGTATATATTTGGCATTATTTGGCAATATATACCTCCTAGCAAAGTGGCAGGAAACCTTGTTGTTGTCTCCAAATCATTGGGACAAGTGACAACTAGGTGTCCACAGGATCATATACGACTGTTGCAAGATTGATTCACTGTCCTAGTTGTTTGGAAATCGTTTAAAGCTGACAGTGAACCCCCGCAACATGGTTCCACAAGGCCTTTGTGCCGTAACCACCCATTTTCTCGTTGGATGACAGAGCATTTTTGGACTATGTGGGGTTTCATATTGGTTTAGTTCCTTTTCTATGCAACTGATGTATGCCACAGACCATTTATGAATATATGTATATATTACATATTTTTATAGGTAGACCGACCTGTACAAAATACTATTAACCGACGTTGGCTTTCTCACTCCTCAAACCGACCTGGTTGGTTTTTGGTAAACTTCTCAGATTGAAGACAGGCCGAGCTACACGTGTGCGTGCATCGCCTGTTCGAACTCGAGGCACCCGAAAAAACAGAGCCTCTGGTGGTTGAGGGTGGGGTATGGTCTAATCTATATATATATATTAATATACTTATTTTACCTTGGACCTCACAATTGACCTGCCAGGTCTACAAGATTGGGCTAACTCGATCAACCACTGCAGCAGATACGGTCGTACCCAAGACCGGGTTGACCTCGAGTGGCCGCTGGTGCTGGAGCCATTCGAAGTTCGCAGTGCTGGGACAAACTGCGGCCAAGATGAACCCGCTGCGCTGGAGCAAAAGGATGACTGTGAGCGAGTTGGCAGAAGATCTTGGGAAGTATTTGCAGACAGACCCGAGGGGCGTGAAGATTCTGTTTGATGAAGAGAACGAAAAGAGCTACAGCGACCAAGTGGCGGCAGTTCTTGAGTTGCAGGACATGATCAGAAAGGCCTGGGCAGGTCTTAGTGGACAGTGCTGTTGCTGAGCCCGAGGAAGTCTTGAGAAAGCCGGTGACGGCCAATTTCCAAAGTGACACATCTAAATCTTTTCTGAGTACGAGGGGCTTTCTGTCCATCTAATCTTTTCCAACATGATGTCAGAACAAATAGACATGTGAATCTGTGAATCACCGCTGTTTTGCAGCCTGGATGCAGTTCGCACAAAAGACCTGATTTCCAATGATTTCCAAACGAACCTTTGGTTGTAGGCCCATGGAGCTGCTGCCCAGACAGGCCGAGCTCCGTTTTGTTTCTTTCTGTGGCCAATGGCCAGCAGCACATGTTCTTGGCGGATTGTCAAGCAACTTTAGTAAAATCTCTTCGATTTAGATCATATTGTTGCGGACGGCTGCTGACTGGAGTATTTTTTTTTTTTGTCAAGTCGGCTCCCCCCAAAAGCCTGCCGCACGTTGAGACGCCGGCCTGGCGGGGCTGATTCAAGCTGATTGACACTCTTGACACGAAACGAACGAAGAACATGTACACCACCGGCTTAATTAGTCCATTTACTTCTGACTCAGCTGCCTAGGTGCAGAGATCGATGAAGAAGGTAGGGGAGCTGAGACCTTGCTGTTTGGACTGGTGGCAAACGGTCTGACTTGCTGATGGTGGGATCTGAAGGGTGTTTGAGGGCCTGGTCACCTTCAGTGATCCCTAGAAAACCCAACGCAAGATGAACATGATGTCCTGTTTCCAAAGCAGATCTGGCCTTCAGAAGGCATGTGTTCAAAGCAAGCGATCTGTGTGAGCAGGGAAGTTCTTTGAAACTCAGACAGATCGCATGCTTGAGGCCGGTCTGCGGAAGGTCTTGCCGAAGGCGGAAGCCAGAGCCTTGGAGCTCTGACGGAAACCGTGTGAAAGCCCATGGGAATGACGGACAGGGGCAGGTTCCACTTGGAGATGTTTTCAAAAACTGTTCGAAAAATGTGACAACATCTTCAGCTTATAGCTCAGCTAATTAGGCCCCTCTTGTCTTTTTTCGGAGACTCACCGACTCAGGGCATGTAAGTTTTTTTGCTACAAAGCGAGCAGGAAAAAAGGGCAACAAACAGGTCACATCCAACAGGTCACATCCAACAGGGCTCCAAGCCCATGTCTTGACGTTCCTTTTCTCGTTTTTTACATTCGAAAAGGCCTTCGCCTCCGCACCACCCAGCACACGCACACGCACACGATCACTCGCTCCAAACTGCAGCCGCGATGATGCAGCCGCGCTTTAGAAAGGACATCCTTGAGGCAGAGAAAGGACGTTAGACATCATGAATTGAATGCCAAGTCTTCTTCCAAGCGTCCTTGAACTATATGCGGATCCACTCTATCGTTCTGCTGCAGTTGTCTTGGTATTCATCTCCCATACCTTTCAACAGGACTCTTGCAAGAGGACGGGAGATGTTGAAGATAGAAAGAGCTCAATGACTGATTTGGTGTCTTTGCTGATGAACCAAACCAAGAAGCTCAACACCCTTGGGACTTCCCCTTCCTTCCCCCTGCAGTCTTGCCGCTGAAGTTCCATTCTTTGCGCTGTTCTGAGGTCAGATGCCTCTCTACGAGGTGGTCGAGCAGGGCCACTCGGAGGTAGAGCAGCGGCTCATCGATTCCATACCCTCCCTCGAGGTGGCAGAGGTTGAGGTGAGCCTGCTGAGTGGCCGTGCTGTTCGTTGCAACTTGGCTCGAAGTCAGTTGGATCGAATCTGGGAATCAGCAGTTTAGAACCTATGAACCATGTAGGCAACATTAGGCAACTCCTCAGCTGATACTGTTTTGATTGCTTTTCGACATTTTCTCGCAAGATTGATGCCTATTAGTGCTCCATAAATCGTGGACTTGTTCGTGCTAAGTTGTCATCTGTGCAGCAGCAGTTGGTGTTTGCTACTTTGTTCTCTTCGCACCCAGTACCTGCACAAAGAAGATGGACAGGAATCAAGCAACGTTCCATCCTTCGCCCGTCGCGTCGCGTCGCGTGTGTGTTGGTTGGACCTTTTCAGAGCATGAAGAAAACGCCCGAAGACGTGCATCGAATGAATCCCGACAGAAAACCTAACCTCTCAACCAAACCGAACCTCTCAAGTAAGAAGAACTGTCCCTCCTTCCGGTAGCCTTGCCCGAACATGATAACATAGTGGTCGCGTAGGCGCAGCACGTGAATGGATTTTTTAAACCCCCCCCCACCCTACTCCCCATCCGCCCCAACCCTCTTGTGTTCCTTTTGCTTCCTACACATATTTGGCTCAAACTCACGAAAGCCGCAATCGCTTCGCCATCGCTTCGCACTCGTCATGGCATCGAGACCGTCACACGAGCATCAACTGCTCTAGAGACAGTGTTCTTTCCAAGGGAACTCCACTGCTTGCACTTCCGTGTCACTCCCCTCATGGTTCCTAGAAGCATCGCACAGGCATCATGCGTAAACGCCGAAGCATAACAAGTGTCCTAGCGCGTGATACAATTGTCTATACCGCAGGCAGGATCGTCCTGGCGTAGGGCAAACACCGATGATTATTGACCCGGACACATAGCGTTGCCTGCTCACGTTCCCGAAAGGAACAACAAGCAGAGGTGATGCAAGCGCAGCTGATCCACTGGCACCCCGTACAGAAGCTGTTTGTTTGGAAAAGTCGAACAAGGTGAGATTGACACTTGTTGCTCCCTTTGGAGTGACCAATCTGATTTTCATGTGCTCGAGATGTTGACACTGTGAGGTAAGGCGGAGACCAGCAGCACTATATGTGAGCTGCGAGAAGAAGCCCAGCAGCATGGCAACAAGTTAGTTGGCCTTTTTGGGCGATGAGGGGTGCTTTGTAAGACATGATTGTTGAGCTTCGAGGGTAAAGATCTCCCAATGTGCGCATATAATTTTGTATATTATAATTAGAACATATAGCTGATCCCTTCTGATCCTGTCTGAATCATCGTGCTGCGGCTGCCATTGTTTCTTTCTGAAACTCTTGCACATTCTTGGCATTGTAGAGGTGAGTACAACCGCAGCAGTCAACGTTGACCTGGCTGAGGTCAAAGCTTGGGACCATTATTAAGCAGCTATTCCTCTCGAGTTCTGGACAACCGCTGCGCCTCCAGCATGCGCTGCGCCTCCAGCATGTTTTTAGTTGAGCTGTGGAGTTCTTTCAATATTATATAACAGACCGTTCAACGCTGTTGAGGCACATCAGCATAGAAAGAACATGCTATATGTGCGGGTCATCGTGGAGATCCCCCAAAAGCCTAAGAATGTTCAGGTTTGCCACTTGAATGGCACATGCATGGTCAAGTCAATGCAGTTTCTTGGTGAAAGACATGTACGTACGTCTTCCAGTTACGGGGGCACAAGTTGGCCCTGCCAGGAAAGAACATTTGACGCTGAAAGATGCTGGCGTAACCCATGGCGCTTCCCTTACCGCTTTGGTCTGACAACCCAGCGAGAGACGGTCATGAAACCAGTGCGGTGGATTGTGCATGTGCAAAGAACATGTGGGCCTTAGGTTCTTGGCCCACCTTCTCTTCAGACCCTTTCCAGTCAACTCTCCAGGTGTTCCTAGCATAGATCCCGAAACGATCAGACATGTGCTTCTTATGACAGGACTAGCTACCCTAGTAGCTGTAAGAGACTTGCTTGAAGATACCGGTTGAGATATATATTGTGGGCGAAAGAGAGTAGCACACTGGTGTGAGAGTATCTGATCCATCTGCTTTGGACTGGTGTGAGGTTGCGAGCTTATTGGACGTCAGTGACCAGACGGTACCACTGGGCATTCAGATTTGCAACGCATGTGATACCGTTGCTTTGTTGTTGCGAGACGAAGTAGCAAAAGGCGATGCGTTGAAGCTGTGTTGCGCGCAAGCTCAGCAAGAAGACTCGCCTGAGTTGCTCAAGGCAAGCATCTTCGGCCTGATGCAACCAGAGGAGATGAAAGAATTTCTTCAAGCGCCTGACCATCGTCTTTGGTTGAAGATCAAATCAGATACTGAACGATTTATAGAGCTCCTCAAAGACCCAAAAACAGTTCCCTACTCCGCCGAAGAGATGACCCCAGAGCCCTTCAATGAACGAGTTCGGACCATGCGTCCGGTGGTGATGGACCAGTCGGTACGAGAACCGGCCACGAACACACCGTTTGGCCATACTGGCTACATGAAGTATCTGACCCTGAAGATTGTGCAGGCAATGGGCTTCAAGGACTGGGCTGAGGGTCTTTGTGACTCAAAAGGCTGAAAGACATTGAATTGGACCGTCGCACGATTCCGACTTAGACGAATCCGTCACGACACGACTTAGACGAGACCTCAGAAGTCTCAGTCTCACTGTCTTGCACCTGTTGCGTTCGTTTCATTCAACTGACTGAAACAACAGAATTCAAATGAGATGGCTTTCTGAGCTGATAAATTTGCTGGTAACCCTTGCGTTGAAAGCCTTGACACGACAGATCAGATACTGTAGTTTGACATGTGAGGCTTGAGGCTGTTGAACGTCAGTCACAACTCTTCATGTACTCAAGTCACCATGCGCTTTGCGCATGCTTTACCAGATCTAGTGGCCTCCTGCTTCGCCTGCATCTAATGAAATGGCCCTAGGAGTATCGGTGTTGCCAGTTTTGATCTTTTTTGTGCACCTCCGCCCACCCCAAAACCGCACAATCTCCTGGTCCATGGCCAGGACATTGCCATTACTGGCCAGTACTATGGCTCATCATACACTCCAGAGACCCAGATCTTGGAGTGGATGTGCTACAAAGGAGACAGCATGGATGGAATGATTGCGATGTTCTCCCCAGGCCAAGCAGACCGTACGGCTGGTATCAATGCCATCAGAGAATTCAAGATACCAAATGCATTTCTGGATTTGACTATGAAAGCGAGTGTACGCTTTGCCCAGTCTGACTTTGTGCAATCCGTTGTCGACACTGTGGAGAAGATTGATGAGATTTATACAGAGATGGGCTTGGACCCCTGCCCATGGCGAGAAGACAGCGAAGTAAACGCAAGACCCGGCCGCGGCGAGATTTCTTTGAACTTGGTGGATTTGATGGAGTTTTTAAATTTATCCATCAACGGTGACATGGATGATGTGAAGGAGCAAGAGGCAGCAAATGCTTTTAGCACATGGAAGGCATGCGACGCATTTAGGCGTAGAGTCGTAGCGATTCTCACTGAGGAAGGCCGGGGATGTGCAGACTACAGGGACTATGGGCGTTTGGTTGGGTGGCTACGCAAACATTTTCCTGAACATGAGCACTACCGCATTTTAGTTCACGCACATGGTGGACACAGCAACGTGCAAGATGCCGCTAGTGTGGAAGCTGCCCTACAGGGAGCAAATGGAGTTTGGGCGGCCATCATACCCCAGGCCTCCCAAGCTGGACACAACTCCAGCTTGGTGTTCTTGGACAACATCCTCCAGCTGGGCAACTCCCATGTCCTGGAGGACTTTTGGCTTCACCAGGCCTCGGAGTGTGCTCGCCACGTCTACTTCTTGAACTTCAATACCTACAAAATCCAAGATGATTGCCCCATCTGGGGGATGGGGGGGCTGATGCGGCTGACGCACTCAGCATTCAGCAGAGTCTCAGGAGAGTCCTGGCGCCACAGGCGGGGAGAATACTTCAACGTTTGGAGCGACGAGGACGCTCGGAACTTGCGGTTCATGCATTTCTTATGTCGAAATAGAGTTGTTGACAGAAAAAGATATAAAAATATATAAAACAACATATCCTGCAGATAAATGGAGATAGACACTTTTCGCATGTGTTCCTTCACAAAAACCGTTCCAGGAGTCCCTAGAGCTGAAGAGAGCTGCAGAATCAGACCTGCACTTGCAGATGGAGGTGGCCTCCTTGCGGCAGGCCGAGCGAGGTGGAGAATACCGCATTTCGCCACTAGTCTCCGATGTTGAGACCTGGAGGCACCGGCTCAGCGAGGCCCATCAGTTGCATTGATTCGATTTGATCATGTTGGATAGTGATACTTCATGGATAGTGATTCCATCGAATTGCATTTTGGTTAGTGATTCTATCCAGGCTCATGGAATTAATTGGATATTGATCAATTGCATACTTCATGAGATTTCATGGCATTTCCTTTGTCAGGGTATGTGCATATAGAACTATAGAACCACATACATACATATCACTATGCGGTTACGTGGTACTTTTACTGTGAGCAATCAAGCTGGTTGGTGAGATTTGGTCACGTGTGCAGGCCGGAGCCACTCAGAGAAAAGAACGAGTCGATGACTATCTGCATGAGGTGAGAGCACTTGGATTCGCCCTGATGAACGCAGGAATTCGGGTCAACATCAACGAGGCTGCGACGCTCAGGAAGCTGGTTGACATTGCGAGGCGCAACAAGGCTCGGGACTTGAGGCAGGGTTTCGAACAAATGCTGCCATTCCTCCGATGATTTATCAAATGAAAAGAGAAGGGTAAAATACTGCATCATGATAAATCCGCTTCCTCCCTGTCATGGTGCATGCATTTGTTTTTGCTTTCTTTCCTCAGGTGCCCGAAGGTGGCCAACTACCTGAAGGCCCAGCAGCACCAAGGTCTCACTGAATAGAGATGCTCATCCTGTTCGCATCTTCACAGGATGCGCATAGAAAGGTCGTCAACGGCCCTAGGGTCGTCGCGCAAACAGCGATGGCGCGTGTTCGGCGCGCCAAGTCTTGCCTCTTTGGAGCCAAGACTTCCACGACATGAGTGGACAATGTCATCTCTGGCGACCCATGGACCAATTGAGGGCATGGTCAGGGAAGATAGCCACCCGGAACCTGTTTCCATTCTCAACCAGCCACGCTGGGGGTTGGGGGGGTGCCGACCCAAACCATACATTTTGAGTAATCTTGTCCCATTTGCACGTGTTGCAGGGACCTGACTCCAAGCAAAGGCTGCGCGCTGGCCCGAACAGACTGCAACCAGTTTCGCAGGGTCCGAATGTTCTGAGAAAGTCAACGGAAAGGAACACTTCTGATAGTTTTCTGGGAAAGTTCCTGTAAGTCAAACTTGTAGCTTACGGAAAGTCAACGGACAGGAACACTTAGCTTTGCTTGTTGCCAATTCTTCCTGTAAGTTCTTGAATCGACATTGAAGGAAGACATTGGCATCGACAGCTTGACCATAGGATCCACAACTCCTCACGATGGAATCGGTGGAGACGTTTCCGTGTCCACAGCTGCTGGTGTGGCGCCATGGCTTCTGGAATGCTGGAATGAGGCAGATGTGGATGTTGGCAACTAGCTTTTGGACAGGAAGGACAGCACCAACCTGTGGATTTCAAGATGTTTCAAGTTAGGGCGCGTTTCAAGTTATCCCATTTTTGCTTGCAGACGAGGTTTGGTTGATACCATCAGTTTCCTGACCAAGCTGGACCAATAATTTGTTTTGACCTGGTTTTTTGGTGAACAGTTTTGATGAACCACAACTGCAAATAACTTTGACCTGGTGACATTTGGAGTCACAAACACAAACATTGATCGAAGACAGCATTTCCCTGTCCCTAGACTGCTGCGGGCAGATTAAAACGGACAGCTGGGTGTCCGTTCTGGGTTTATGTAGTCATGTCATGTACCTTTTGCTTTTGACACCCTTCCATCGCCCTACCTCATTTCACAGATTACAGTTGGTCATCTCATTGCAGCTCATCTTGAAAACTTGCTGTACCTCTTTGTAATCCCAGGTGTCATGCCTTCTGACTGCATGCCGCACCTTGCTGTAATGTTTTTTCTGTTTAAGTTGTTTTGCTTCCATCTTTGGTGAGACTTCGAAGTGCCTTTCACCCCTGAGCTCCCACGTCTCTACTTCTTGGAATGTTGGAGTTGGAGACTTCTGTTGTCGCTCTTCGACTTGGGGATTGGGTGTCGCACTTCATGACTAGCACCGGTGCCTTGTTCTTTTTGGGGTGGCACAACATCTGGTCGTTTCGTTGACCGAATCCTTCCTTCTCAGATGCAAACGCCTCCTCGCGTAGAACTGGTCGAAGCAGATGAGCAATGCCTGATTGGCTACGGATGTGAAACATTGGGAGCAACATTTGCAGCAATATTTCCACATATCCTGCCCGTTTCAGAAGAAACAAAACAGTCTATGTCAGGCCATGTATCAGAAAAAAATATGCAGTAGCTTTTTGCACCTCTGGGTCTTTGTTTGGACCTTGAAATTAGAGCGCATTAGCCGCCCGTTTCAATGTCTTTCTTGGAACTGGTCAAAAGCAAAAGAACAGTTGACCACTCCAAAGACCGGTCGCCCAAAACCATGAAAGATCGGTGCACTCAGTGTGTGACTGATGTCATGATGCAAAGTGTGTCACTGGGTTTCTAAGCCCGCGGTGCCGCACAACGACAATGCTGGAGATTTCGCACAATTCTGCATATGTTTGCTGGACGTCCTTTTTCTGGACCATTTGCTGATCAACCTGAAGATTCTACCTTTTTAGTGATGCTTATCCGGTTGGTACTCTTTTTTTGGGAGCGTGGCCCTCGTGCTGTTCGTTTGCGTTCGCGCTACGATGGTGGTTAAAAAAAATGCCTAGCGTTCAAATCGGGAGCTTCAAAGATTCAAGAGCAGAAACACAAGTCAATCAGAGTGAGTAACATCTTGCGAAGGTTCTCAGAAGCTGACAGCGACACCTCCTTTGTGGCTGAAAGCTGAATGCTGCCGTCAACACCAGCGGTGACTCAGACACAACAATATGACTCAGACGGCTTCGAACGGTGTTTTTTCGTTGCGTTCCGAAGGATTTACGAGGACATTTAGCAGCTAGCAAGTTTAGTCAGTGTTTCAGAAGTCCGAGGTCCAAAAATGGCAATCCTGGGATCCCATCACCGAAGGTAGGTCGGCGCACCTACTTCCCAAACACCGAGCTATCCGAGCTATCCACTACTGTGTGGTCCAACCGTCCGGCGGAGTCTTCCATCGAAGTACCACCGATGATACTGCCCACACGAGTCGAAGACATAAGAGGGACTGTCGAGAGTAATGTGATGTGCGAACCGCGCCATAAACCGGCCTAGGTGGTGTTCAGAAGGGTTGTGTGTTTCAAAGGTTTGTCGAAATGATCCCACTGACTACTATGTTTTAAGTGAGTTGAGACCACTCACCAGCTAGATTCTTGAGGAGAACCTCTGCCAGTCCTTTGACGAGCGCCGCCGGCAATCGAGGTGACTTGGCCTTTGTAGAAAGTGTGCCGATGACCGCAGTGTCTCTCTCCGCTTCATGGAACTGAGTACAACCAGGTCAAGTTGAGATAGGAACCATAGACTGACTTGGTCCCTTCTCAGGTGTCTTTGAGGTAACTTGGTCCGCTCGCATCTCCTTGACAACTCTGGGGGGGTTCGTGATGTCCTGCCGTGTCGCTGGTTCTTTCCGGACCCCCAGCCATATGTCCTGCCGTGTGGTATCATTTATGAAATGCCATTCCCATCAGCCTTCATTGAAACAACCTGGTGCTCCCAGTTCACTGACCTTTGGAATGTTGAAAAACGATGAACAAAGTATCCGCCCAGTTGGGGTCTCGGGGTCAGATCTCCGGAGCTCTGTGTTCGACCTACAACCTCTTTAGATCAAGTCTGTGAGTCCAAACCTGGAGCCCCAAACGAGTCGTTGACCTGCCTGGGACACGTCTTTGCAGTGGTAACAGTGGTCATCCGAGGTGTCCCGCCTGAATGCTCCCAGAGCCATAGATGAAGTGTGGCCCAGACTTGGGTCGAACCAACGGCGATGTCAAGGCTTGAGGGTTGTTCTGGGTGAAATGGGAGTAGAGAGCATGGGCGATGCAGCCACTGGGAGTGGCAAAGTACTATCAGTGGACTCAGTCCAAATGGAAAGGATACTTGATACTTTGCAGAAGCATGCTGGTAGAGTTTGGAAGGTGTTTAGGATGCTTCAGTACATCCCATCGTCCCAGTAGGTGCCAAGCTTTTCTTTGGTTTTCCGACCACTTTGGGCTGCAACTCGAACTGCAAGCACCAAGTTTACGGCTTTGCTCCTTCGCCCAACTCAAGTGCCCAGGTGGGTCGCCTGGCCCATTTCACTGGGTCGTGAAGATGAACGAGGCCCGTTCGGTGCGGCCCGGTCCGGCCTGGAAGGGATCCGAACTTGCTGGGTGTTCATTTGGTCCTTTGGATGCATATCCGTTCGGCGAGAGCCATATGTGACACATGTAACAGGTTTTTAGGCGATCAGAACCGTAGTATGATTGCTTTTCATTGTTCGACCCTGGAAACAACTATGTATGTATTTTAGTTCTGATGGTCTGGTGGGAATATGCTGTGTTTTTTTTTCCCGAGTGTCTTGGGTTTCCATTTGATGATGCCTTGGTGGGTGAAGCCATGTCAAACGATCTCTACAAACCATGAAAGCGCGAAGGACGATCCCTGTATCGTTTTTGGTCTAGGAATGGCCTCACAACATGACTTTATCAGGATGAAGATCCTGGTTTGAATTGGATCGTTTTTAACATCAACTGTTGATTCATTGAATTCACAATTATACCCACATCACTTGACCATGACTCAAGGAGGATACCTTACCCTGTTGATTTTCCATTCCAATTAATTCCGCCCGTCCCTACCCCTAAAAAGGACATTTTTTCGAGACCCTGACACGTTGTCGCCCACAGTTGGTGTGGATCATCAGCCAGCGAGGAGCGAGGTACAGGCCGCAGGTCTTACCGTACCTCGTAGTGCCAAAATCGAGCCCAAAGTCCGGAAGCCGTCTATGATACTAGAGTTTATAATGGATATATATATATATATACCAGGAGTCACAAAGGGGTGGTGTTTAGTCCTTAAGTGAGTGGATAATGGGCACCCCTAACCTCCATTAAGCACCCCTTTGTGACTGCTGGTATATGGGACAATCGTGCGAATGTTTCGTAAATGGTGTCTGTGATGCAGGGGCAAATATGGCTGTGGGTCAAAAGCCGGTTGTTCCATGTTTTTCCACACCCAAACATGAACAGATTAGACAACCAGACATGGTTAACCAATACCAGGGTTTGGTGCTTTTGACTCACAGCCAGAACACCGCCAGAACGATGGGGATGCCGATTCTTCCCGCTGCACCGAGTAATACTCGGACGTGCACGCAAGGCCACCACGACGTACAGGTCCCGTTAACGCTGACGTGAAGGCAGGAGGATGAGGCCGGGAGGAGACGACGCGGCGAGTGGTTCTTTTCTTTTCGGAGGCCCCCAAAACATCCTCTCTAGGTGTTTGGAGGTCACTGCAAGTTGTGTTTCATGCAGATTCCTCTCAGCAGAATCTCACAGATTCTAGAGTGGCTTGAATCCAGATCTGCGATTTGCTTTTGGTTGAGGTATTGAGCGAACCCCCACAAAATCACATGGACGATTCACGCACCCCAGTTAAGCAATTTCACATCATGCATGATCTACATGAGATCTGTGTGTGATCTGTGTGTGATCTGTATACCCAGTACGAGCTTCCCGCGTCCGAGCCTCTTGGCTCCAAAAGGGCTCGCCGAAAGCTCGCTCGCTGCTTCCACCCGTTCGCGTCGAAGTGATCGATGAACGGGCAGTCGCAGGGCTCAGAATCGGTGTTTGTCATGACAGACATGTTCGCCAATCACGAACAGTTCCTGGCAGTCGTGGAAAGATTGTGGCTTTTGGGGAGAGACTTTCGGAAGATGGTGGAAGCGAGAACTGATGAGAAGAGTTGAAAACCGACACCAGCGCTGAAAACCACGAGCTACAAACCACATGAAAAGGATGAAGATGATTCTTCTCACCAAGGAATATGCCGTGCTTACTGGCAGCAGATGGCAAGATCCCTGCTTACTGCGAGGAGCCCTAAGCGCCCTCGTATCGCCTCGGTGGATCGAACGATGCACGTGGATCGAAGGATGTGTTCAACTCTTAAAGACCACCAAGTCTTAGTGGTCGATCATTTTTCATCCTCCTCACTCCCCAAGCTCAGTGGTCGACATCGATTGAGCCCCTCAAGTTGAACTGAGATCGCCTTTCTCACGGTTTCAAAGCACAGCTCGAGGCTCCCGCCGTGTTGGATCGCGAAGCGCCCCCGTCGCGTCGCCCGTCGTCGCGGGTCGCCCGCGCCCGTCTCGGATCGGCAGGAGAAAGCGCCCGGGCGGCTGAAGCACCGGAGCCTCCGCCGCAAGCGCCATGCCTTGCAGCGCAGGCGACGCGCGCGGAGCGAGCAGCTCGTGCGGAGAGGGGCGGAGAGGGTTCCCACGTGGCCGGTGCAGCCGAGACGAGGAGCAGTGTTGGGGTGGGTCAGGGCGGATGGTCTGAGCTGAGAGGTTTGATTTCTGAGCTTCAAAGCATCGTCCAATGTGGGCAAGAATGAAGACTTCAAAGGGAGCATGCTCCTTTCCTCTCAAAAGACTAGGACCAAGCATAGAATCCCCCTATTTTGAGACTAGGGACAGCTTCCCTTCTGAGAAGGGTTCTTCGAGCTCATCACACCTATGATGACCACCCTCCATATCCATTTGCCCTTGAACCTGCCGCATGCGCGCGCGGTATGCGCCAGGCAGTTAACGGAGTTTCGCCCAGAATTGCCTGGCTTGCACGATGCTGAGAGAGATCTGAAAAGCTGACCCGATGGATGGTGAAAGCCACGCTGAACTCCTTTGACATGACATAGCCTGGCACTACATTGTCACTACATCTCTATTTTTCTTTGGAGTAGCTGAGTAGCAGATCAAAGGAGACAGCAGGGGAGACAGCGACCGTGATGGCTTTCCGAAAGGGATGGCTTTCCTTGGCGCGTTTCACCTCATCGTGGCACTGACCTCCTGCGAGGCTGCTCCTTCTCATCGACCAGATCCACACGGCTCGCCTCTCGTGCGGCGTCACGCCGCGGACACGGTACGGGAGGAAGTCTGGGAGATGGTGGCCAAGAGAGGAGACACATGGGGAAGGTTGATGAGGTGAAGAATACGAGATCCCGATCTGAAGTCAAATCAACGGTTTCCCATCTATAAACGTTTTGACCTTGTAACACTCTACCACCTGGGGTGGTTTCTATATATCAACTGCATGTCTACTCCGGGACTCGGTCCTTGGCCGTCGCCTCGGTCGACTCGGGTCGACTGCGTCCGCCGTGCGGACGGCGCGCAGGTGCCGCGACGCATCATGAACGGGATCGTGCCGTCCGGACCGCAGAGCTTGGGGCCAACTGCGAAGGAAAGGAACCAGGCTAGCAAGCTTTATAGCATGCTTTCGCATGCTTTAGCTATAAGACCCAGATGCACCTCGCAAATGAAGGGATTTTGCACCAAAGAACTCAGCAATTCCTGCTTCCGGATGGCTTTACGGTGCTCGATGAATAGTCTTGAGATACCTGAATTCGGATGGCTGAACTGAGGGTCGCCGGACCCTCTCTTCTTCATTTTCGCTCAGACAACTCTAAGCATCTACTCCGGACCCGTGTAGTCTGTAGTCGACTGTTACTTACCTTATAGACTTAGCATGCAGAACTGAAAACTGACGAAGTATCTGAGTGAGTTCGAAGGGTCCGCCACGGCCGTCGCTGCAAGCAGTTGTCGCTCCAATCCCTCCGAGTGGGCACCCACGGGGACCGGTACTCACTCAAAGAAGCCACCAGCTATAGAAGGATATGGCATGGAGATGCAGGACCAATTCCGGCGCTGGGTTCGGATATAATTCGGCGCTGGCTTCTCTGTCTGATAAATCCCGAGTTGGAAGACTTGGGCTGAAGGAAAGGACTTCTCCATGCCCCAGCCAGCTGAAAGAAAGGAGTTTAGATTAGATTTCATTCCCTCCTCAAATCTTTGATACCAGCTGGTGGAAGACCTTCCTCTGATCTTGAAGGCAGAAACACTCAGCTGAACTTGGGTCAAGGAATTGAAACCTGTTTCACTTCCACTTGGTCCATCAGTCGTGTCCGAGACTTGTTTCACTTTTACCGAAGGGTATTGAGACCACGACCGTCTTCATTTAACACAATTTACAGTAATATATAACCACTCAAGTTCAGAAATGGTATGGAGACCGCGGCAGTCTTCATCAATAACCACTAAACGTCAGAAATGGTTGCTGGACGTAGATCCTCTCCTCCAACCGGACGTGCACAAATGGTGAGTCGATGGCTGAACACCCACAACCTCGACGTTCGCACGAGTTCAATAAACTTCCAAATGCAGTCACAGACGTTTGGGATAAACGATCCACAGACATTTGATATCTTGGACATGGCGGATGGATCGACACCGACACGCCATGGCCCGTGGCCCGTGTCCCAGCCGCTGCTTTCCAGCACTTCAGCACTCCAGCTGCTCCTGTGTCCAGCTCCAGGCATCTTCAGGCGATTTATGGAGACAAGTGGATTTTTGAGGCGGAGACGAGGGTCGCAGGGTCGAGTCGCTGGAAAAAAACAGTGTCCCTGGTTGTGGTATTGGAGCGTTGATTTGGGGATTGGCCCATCCCAAACCCGATTGAACAAGCGATTGAAAAAGGGCCAGTCGGCCAGTCTGTTCCACCACGTCCATTTCTTGGAGAACACAGGGAGCATCTCCCCGGTTCCATCCTTCCGGTTCCACCTACCGAGCGGCGGATCCGCTCACCGAGCCGGCGGGATCCGATCCGATCCGCCATCCTCGTCACCCTTCGGTCACGCATCCTCGAGCGCTCTCACCGCACCCTGAAGTCGACCTTGAAAAAGAAACGGTGGAACAACGGTTCCAAAACGGTAGAGACTGTGAGCCAGGAAAAAACATCCTCTGAAACAGAAGTAGACAATTACCGTATTCAGCTTTCAGAACTTTCAGGGTAGTTAAATGGTATTACGACATGTCTGGTGTCTTGTTGGAGACCTGCAGGCAGGTCCTGCCTGCGGCACCATGGGCGCATGGTCTCTTGGAATCCTCCTATCCGTCAATCACCATCCGTCTATCACCTCCAGTCGTAGCTCAGAATGTCTGACTGGACTCCTCAAACCCACCATCACCCACCCCTCCAAAAACCGCGGAAATACGCTGAACCCAACCAGATGTCCAGATCACGGAGCCCCCCGGATCCGGATGTCACTCTGTGGCGATGCTTCCGATGCAGGCGTTCCACCTTCAGGAACAAGCCCTCGAGACCACTCTTGGTTCAGACTACCGTAGGCCGCCAGATGCCCAGGCAATGCAGAGTGATTCAGCACGAGGTATGCAGTTTAGTATATTTTTATATATAAATACTTGCATTTGGTTTAATTTGAGGACACAGCTCTGGGATATAACCTAACACTCAAAGAGCTAGCGAATACTCATTTCCACCGAGGCTTTGCATTGATGTAAATAGCTTTGTGGATTTGACCCATGGGGTCAAACATGTTTGGAGCCCTCACAAGAATGTGTTTTTGACTTCTCACATCATTTTATCAGTTGACATGTGTCTTTTTGTGGGTCGAAAAGCAACGAGGGAGAGATGGAGCGAGGGAGTGAGTCACTTCCGAACTTTTTTTGATCGTTTTTTTGTAAATCTCAATGGATTCAAACCAAGAGATTGGAATCATTGAGATTGTTCAAGTATCTTGAACGATTACACAATCGAATCCAATCTCTGGATTTTCTCATTGGATTCGATGCAATGCTTACATATATATGCTTACATACTTGAAAGCCACCCCTACAGTTGGTGAACGCGGGTTCAGAACTGCTGGCGACGACCGGGTGACACATGGGACAGTCCGGGGTGCGTCCCACGTTCCCAGGCTTGAGCAAGAAGTGGTGGATCCAACGCAGGAGCACTTGCGCCGGAGGCCACGCGTTCCGGACGCGCCGCGAGTTCGAGAGACGACGCCCGAGGTGTTTTGTGGGGCGGGCGGGTGTTTGCAACAGGTAGAGAGGCAGGTTGGGGGTTTGGTAGTGGAAGAACTTTTGTTGAGTCAGTGAAGATGCACACCGTTGATGGCTTCATGTCGCGCAGGGCTTTTCCCACAGAAGCAAAATATTTTTTCTGCTTGTGGATCATTTCATTTGCTGCGCACGGAAGCAGAGGGGTTGGAGCTCATGCCATCATCTCCAATCATCTTGGATCATTTTCGATTCGTGATTCTTATGCCATGATCATCTTTGATGGCTGTTTTTTGTTTTAATGCTTTCTGTTATGAAGATCGAACAAAGTCATGGTTTTCTTCAGAAAAAAGAAGACTGATCGAACACGGGTCAGAGAAACATTTACATTTGCCTAATTCTTCGAAGGTCAGGTGACCTGTCAGGTTCTGTCGCCTGACTTGGACTCTGTCACACATTATATAACCGCTTTTTGGTTCATTGACCCTTCAGCCCGCAGCCAGAACTTCTGCAGGCTGCGCTTGCTCTCGGGAACTCTTCACTTGAAGGTGAGGAGGATGCTTGGTGAAGGTGAGACTAAACCCCTCCAGACTGTGAAGACTCCCACGCGCATGTCACTGTCAAAATTCGACAAACAGGTCAACCATCATATGGAGTTCAAGGAACCCAGTCTCCACTGTGGTGAGTGGGTTCTACCCCAGTTTCGAGCCTCCGCTGCCCAAATTTCTCAACACAGGTGCCCCTGTTAACGTGGAGTTCAAGAAAAGCTGTGTCTCCGCTTGTGTTTGTGAAGATTCTGCGAGTTGCCATTCTTTTTTGTGGTGGGGGATTGCTGGCAGAACACCACTGAACATTTTAATGTGACATGTTTGCCCGACCTCCGTCAAACTTGAGCTGCTTTCAACATGGAGGGACGTGCCAATGTCGCATAGAATTACAGAGAAGCAAGTAGAGAAGCAGTTTCCATTGTCTTAGAGGGGAGTCCAGATATATATATATATATACCAGGAGTCACAAAGAGGTGGTGCTTAGTCCTTAAGTGAGTGGATAATGGTCACCCCTAACCTCCATTAAGCACCCCTTTGTGACTCCTGGCAGATATATATTTTTTGTTGAAACTGTTTCATCCGCTTTGGACCGCAGTTTCATCCTCAACTGAGGATCTGGGCTGACGTACGGAGTTCTGAAGACGAGAGGCTGGAGGAGACGTCCCATCGCTGCGATTCATCAGTTCAGGGAGATGTTATGACGTCCATGTAGATGGTTTGTTTATAACATCCATGGAGAGTCCCTGCCTTGCGACCTCGCGACAGGAGATTCGAGCCAAGGTGCACAGCACCTTGCAAACGTTTGAGGCCAGCTGGCTACTGTAGCATTCATGGTGCCAATGGCGAACGCTTGGATGCTGTATTCTCGAAGCAAAGAATCACAGCTGTTATTCTGATTGCCAAAAACCTTAATACCTTTGGGGATATTCTAAATCACCAACCAGTTGTCCATTCCCAATACAAACCGATCATCCTTGGTGAATGACTTTGAAGCTCCACTTTCAGGATCATGATTCGCACAACGGGCACACTGTGCCCCTCTTGCGGGTCTGAACCCATATCCCGACATGTGATCCATGGGATATTATACTATGATATACTACCATGGTTTTTCGAGAGTTCCTCTACGAAACAGGATGGCTTTTCTGTGTGTTGCAACACTTGTCCGACTTCGGTCATGCTGGTCCCTGCCGGGGAATCCGAAAGCGCCGCCTGAGCGAACTACATATCATCACATCCGCCATATCCAGAGTTGCATACACCAACACATCACATCTGCACTCTTCAGTCTCTCTCCCTCTCCCCCTTTTATTGTTCTTGTTTTTCCCAATGTGCCAGGTGAGGGTTGTTAGATTTTATCAGAGCTCTTCTCCTCATCTTCTCTTTGTCTCCCTCTCTCTCTCTCTGTCTCCTCTCTCTCTCTCTCTCTGTCTCTTCTCTTCTCTTCTCTTCTTTTCTCTTGCCCTCTTCTCTTCTCTTCTCCTCGTCTCCTTGACTACCGCACCTCAACTACCAGCTCCCGATCGTAATGGGCTACACCTCAACTGCAAGTGCCAGATCGCAGTGGGCACTACCGGACCTCAACAGCAAGCGGAACATCTGCAACAACTGGAACAACCGGAACCACAACTGGAACACACAAACACAAAACACAACCACAACCAACATATGTAACACAACCACAAATACAGCCACAAAACACACAATCGCAAGCACACAGCCACAAACACAATCACAAACACACAATCACAAACATAGAACACACAACACACAACCAACTAAGCACAACCACATCCGCAGACACAAAGCACAACCACAAACACCAACAGCAACAAGCGCAAGCACACAAACACAATACACTACCAACCAAACACAGTGACAATCAAGCGCAGCTCCAGACACCTGGAGGGGCCCAGGTAATCCGTGAGTTGTGAAGCGTCACGTCGTTAGCCCGCACGAGCGTTAAGGCATCCGTCCGCAGGAAGGACAGGGTCGCTGTAGAGCCTCAACCATTTATGATAGTAGACGATGTGTAAGAGCACAATCCAGATTTGTAGACGATGTGGCAAGTGTTTCAATAGACCTTGGTGAGTCACGACTTTCGAACGTTCGTTTCCCGCCGACATGAAAAGAAACGTTTGAACGCCCCAGTCTGTCAGCGGAGCGAATCGATGCTATAGCGACTAGGCAGCTGGAGTATTATTGTTCTTTTTTTTTCTCTCTCTCTCTCTCTCTGTCGCTTCCTCTCTCTCTCTCTCATTTTTTTGCTAATGCTCTCTTTCTTTGTTAGGTGTGGGGTGGTGCCACCGAGCCACCACAAAATGCAACCATCTGGCACGAAATGAGGGTCAAATGTTGGTCAAGTGTCAAAAACTTAAGGAATATTGCCATTTCAAATCGTCCATGAATGAGCATCAACTTTAAAACTCCTCTAGGGATTCTAGGGCTTCCTTCACCTGGATCCACACACTTTACTATACAATAACTCTGCGCACAAATCCGCTTTAAACATGGCCTTGGAGATATCTTTGGGACAGGACCTGAATCCACGCACTTTACTGTAAACCTGCTTAAACATCGCCTTGAAACCATGTCAATGTTTGGGACAAGGACTGAATGCATACACTATAACACATCCTTCTGCAAAACGCCTACAAACCTGCATGAACATCGGCTGGAAAACATCCTTCCCTCTTCCTGCGAACATCCTTTTCATCTCATCTCATCCTTTTCGCACCCGCTCTTTCACTTTCCCTCTCGCCATCTCACAACTCTCTTTGCTTTACTGCCTCATCGTAATGCAAACATACCTTACACCAGAGTAACTCTACACCTCAACGCTCTCAGGCCATGCGCCATCTAGCCTTGATGGCCTTGTTTTGGGGATCCCTTGAGCAGATTCGATCCTCCGCGCAGGCCGTCTTTTTGGATCTGGAACCCTGGATATCCCTGGCCATCTCCCTGCTGGGACGGCGCCCGGTGTGGGACGGCCTTGCCCTCGCCTCGGCATCTCTCGTCTCGTTTCGGCATGGGTTGCGAGCGCACAAGCCCCTCGCCGCCAGGCTTCCGCCTTGCAGATTCTACAAACAGATCGGGGAGCGCGTTCCGAGGTGCAGTGTTTCGAGTTGGGAAGACGGGGATCGGCGAAGAAACGCGGCGGAACCCGGGGGGCCCAACTGGCTCTTTTTTTTGGGAAACATGCGAAACAACGGTCGAAGTTCGGTGTTTGAAGCCGCAACAAGTGTTTGAAGAAAACTGTGTTGTTGTTTCAATCCGATATGGGGTTCACTCGATTCAGAAAGCCGTGACAATCCTGCAAGAAGTGCTGAAAGGAATCAGACAACCCGTGTTGACTGCACAACTCCGCAACCGACCTTTCCACCAGAAACATGGATATCGTCTTCACAAACAGTGGTTGAATGGTACGTTACATCATGGTACATGTCTTTTTCATTTTGTTTGCCTCCCCGATGTGAGGATCAGACGAAATCCCACCAGAAAGTGCCCAAAACACAAGTTGGAGGCCATCGCTTCTAGGTTCCTGTTCCTAATTGTCACAGAAAACCGTAGAGTGGGGCATCTTCCCTCCTGCTCCCAGGATGAGCTCGAGGAGGTGATGCCCAGTGCCACAGTCACGGCCGACGTGGAACTGCAGGGCGCCAGGCCTTACGAGGCCACGTAGAACTGCGAAGCTCCTTCCACCGATGTTAGTGAGCACATCAGCGATAGCTAGCTGCTAGCTGGATGGTTTGTCTTCTTTGGGCTTACATTGGGAAACTGGATTTTGGGAGAGAGAGAGAGAGAGAGCATGAACGGTTTGCACGAGCTCGTCCGAACAAACCAGGTCTGTTGTTGACAAAGGTCAATAGGTTGATCATCCAGTGGTCCTTTTCTGTATGTGTCCGTGCAAAAAATGGACTCTGCAAAGTTACTTAGGCATCATAGCGTCATAGCCATGGGAGTGTGTCAATAGGGAGACCGGGAGACCCATTTGGCCCAATGGATTTTGGATGATTATGGTCCTGGTCTATTTCCTCTTCTTCCAGGGGGTCGTTGCCTGGGAGGTCTCCCTATATATTATAAGGAACGCTACAGACCGAGTCTTCTGGTGGCCTATTTCCTCTTCTTCAGGGTCGTAGCGACCCCTTCTCGTCGTAGCTGTGATATCTTGTTGACGGATGGACAGATGTTGTTTTCTGCAAACGATCAGTGGATCACCAAACATGAAAAGAGATGATGCTCGAGCTTCGCCCCAGGGATTTGACATGATTTTACAAGCCAGCTCTACAGCTGGTTCTTTTGGCATTTTGCAGGATGCGAACTTCAGCTACCAGTCTTGTCGCATTTCCACATGCGAGAATGCGACGCAGGGAATTTGGGCACCAAGCCGCAGACGCGACGGGTTTCAAGGGTCTGGTTTTTGGAACGTCGCCGGAGCTGACGCAGTCAGAGAGTTGATCAGAAAGACGTGAGGGCGCAACGCATGTCTTGCACACCACTGCCTTCAGAAAGCACTAGGAGGAAAAGCAGTACTTTTCTTTACGGAAACTGGATGAACTGGCACTGGGCCTTCTATTCCCATGTGTGGAAACTTTACATGTTTGGTGAAAATGAACCAAATCGCTCTCTGGCCGCTCTGTTCAGGCATCCCGGTCGTCAAGCCAAATTCGGACTACACTGCCCACAGCACGCCCCTCCCCACTGCGCCAGTCAGTGGAGACGGTTTGATGATGTTTGATGATGTTTGATGGCTCAATGTATCTCAGGACTGCGAACAGTCGGTACACAAGCAAATCACTGATGCTTAGGCCTGCAACCTAAGCATCATAACACTGAAACCTGGTCATATGCCCAATTGCATGATCTTCATTTGAGTAGGGGTTCAGCCTTTATAGCTTTTTGGTGGGTCTTCATCCTCCAGCACTTGTCCCTCCTGAGCTGCCGATCCTTGATTTCACTCCACTGCGGCGTGCGGGTGCTCGTCATCCGAAGGTGGAACGGTTTGTGCATGGGTGTGAGGCCGTGTGGCTTGAGGACATCGGGGGGGTTACTCTCGGAGTGGGCGTCCGTTCGGGCGCTTGGTATCGAACATCACACCTGAATTAGAGGGAGGTTGGCTCAACAAGTTTTTTTCTATAATTGAATTTTACCTCTTGTTTTGGTGAAACAAATCCTGACACTCCGACTTCTAAGGTACCTCCTTTAAGGGCTGACAGGATCAAATGAGACCTCATCAACCCCTCAACTTGGTGCATGTAAACCCTTCTCCAGTCTGCCGAACATCCAGATATCTTGCATGAAGAGGACTGGTTTTTCTGGTTGCATTGTTTTCCAGCAAGATTTGATCTGGGCGCTTCACTCCAAGACCTGCGAAAAATCTCGCGGCTCTGCGATGCTTGGCGCCTCAAGAGATGGCACGTGATCGCTTGGCACTTGGCGCAGTCTATCACTAGTTGGGCCAATCTCGGAGAAGGTCACAGGATCAGCAGGGTTTGACGTCTGAGGTTACTTGATGTTATAGTGTTTGGGCTGTGTGACATCGTGAGGACGACCCATCCAAGAAGAGTGAACAGCACATAAGGAAACTTCTGCAGTGTTGAGCAGGGATTTTGCAATGTACATAATGTACATCACTAAACAGAAAAAGATCCAAAAAGAGTCTAGTGGTTGGACGTGCTTCTTGGTGGCAACCCAGTGGTTCTGTGGTGGTCCCTCATCAACTGTTCTGTGCATCCGATCAATGGCAGTGAGGGTGGCGGCTAGGTCAACAAGATGCCATTGTTGGGTTTGGTGAATTGCTGGAGAACATGCTGGTTTTCTGTGTGGGGATGGCAGTAGTTCCACCAGCCCTTAGGCTGTTCAAAGTTCAAGACATTCTGAATCATCCATAAGCAGCCCGAAACCAGGTGAAGAGGTCTTTTGGGTTGTTTGTGTCTTATTGTTTCTCTGAGGCATAGGGGGTGGGCTATGATAGGCGTGAGGCCAATCTTCCGAGATCGTCGATGCTCAGATGCCCAGCTGCTGCCTAGAAAGCCCAGCCGGAAGGCGCACGAACCGGCAGGCAAGACTGCGAAGTCTGGTGTGTGAGGCTCTTTGTACAGGATGTGTTCTTTGAAAAGGCTCGAGGATTGGAAGAGAAACGACCGTCTCGTGGCGACCATGTGGTTTTAGCGGGACGAAGCACTGACAAATAAGTGAATGGCATGAGGACCAGATCCAAGAGTTTGCCGCAAGTGAGAGGTGTGGGTTTGGGGGGGTTGGAATTGGTCGAATTCGGTTGGGAATGAGTTGAGAAGGACCCAAACCAAAGGGACGTTGGGGCAACTTGGAGTGTCTCCTCCAGCCAAGTGTTGGGACCAAAAACAGGCCGGTGCGGTCCAAACCCCAAACCCCAGATTCTGGTCCAGTTGTCTGGTCCAGTTCGGCAGGTGAGCTGGATTCCGGTTTTCCGGTGTGAGGGCGGGACCCACACGAGTGACTAGTGACCAGCTGCTAAAGGATGTGCTGCAGGTGTTGCTTTGGAAGACGGGAGGATGTGCTAAAAAGCGCAAACCACGGCATGTGCTGTTGCGGTCGACCAAGATCCTGCTATCACTCCAACCTCCTAGCGATGGCCTCCAACCTTAATAGCGATGGCCTGCAACCGGTGCCGAAACTCGAAGCCTAATGACACAATTCGAAGCCTCGTTATATTTGGAACGTCACCTCGGCTTGCTGCAAGAAGCTGCTCATTGGTTCTCCGAGCAAAATAGAAGCGCTTGCAGGATTGCACTTATGTGCAAAGGTCATGCACTGGGTGCTTTTACACCGGAAACTGCTCGTTGTTTTCTCTTCCTTGGCCCTGTCTCCTGGAGGGTGCTAGCAGAATGTTTGACTTTAAATGTTGAAGGACACCAATCTGTTATTAGGGTGATGTTTTTCTATTCCTAAAGACTTGACAGTCCTTTTCAAGAAATCCAAATGTCTTTTTTCTCAAGGGTTGCATTCTTTGTGCTTATATATAACTTGTTCATGTGGGCTTGTGAAGGGTGGCCACGAAATACCCATCACCAATGGCCAAGGAATCAGGAAGATTTGGTTTGGTCTCTCTGCAATTTTTGGAACACATGCTTCCTTTTTTGCTTCCCAGTTCAACTTCTCAGCATGGATAAACAGATAAACATGTCCTTCCGCTAATGTTTGCCTTTCGACCTGCCTTGGCCCGACCTCAAGCCGGCAACTGCGCCCCTTGCATGGACCTGTTCACGTGCCGAAACCAAGGAACGCGCCGAAACCGTTCATTTTGCCACAAAACCCCACAGCCTCGCAATGCTTCGCAATGCTTCGCAATGCTTCGCAATGCTTCGCGTGCTTCTGTCGATGCCTTTTCCTCTGTCGGCTTCGGTTTTTTGTGGAATTGACAATGGAATGACTCTCATGTCGACCCTTAATGATATTTGACAAAGAGGATTTAGTATATCATCCATGTGGGGTTTTAGAACCCTCAAGAGCCTACGTTTCCCTGAAACTTTCCCATGTAATTTGCTGTTCGAGTCAGGCTTTTTTGTAGCCTTTCCTGCGTGCTTCACTTGCTCTAACATGAAGAGATTTGTGACGAGATGACGCAGTGGTCGAGGTGTCCACTGCGCTCGTGAGATGCGGAGCGCGCGCTGCAGAGCCTAACGGACGTGAAGGTTGAAACAGATCGACGAGCAACATGGGGGGCCACAGCCGGCTTCAACTAGAGTTGGTGGGTGGCCTCGAGAAAGGCTTGTCACATTTCGTGGAATGGACCAAAACGCCAGCAGTAACAGTGTGTGCACTGCCCAAACGCTAGCAAACCTCGCAAATCCATCACATGTGAGAACACAAATGGACCAACTGGGGATCTTTCAAGCATTCGGGACGAACTTCTTTGAGTTCTTTGGAGTTTTTGAGATCCCCCCCAGCCACTTAGAGTTCACGCGGATGTCGAGTGTCGTGACTTCCTTCGCTCAACCGGCCCACAGCGGCGGCCGACGCGGCGAAAAAGGAGAGCCCGTGGCCGAGACGGCTGAGACGGGTGAGAGGGGTGAGATGATTTCCACATGACATGGGTGAAACAAACAGTGAAAGTCCTCACATGACATACTGTAATACGTATCACCGCCCCTTTTTTTTCCCCTGTCCGTGGTGTTCTGCGTGTGGAACATGCCGCAAGGATGCTGATGTTTGTTCTGTCTGTAGAGGCGAGGAAGGCAAGAAATCACAGGATAAGCCGAAAAGATGGACCACCCATCATGTGCTTCATATCAGGTTTGTCACCCCCACGAAGTTCACGAGGAGTGGTGCGGCGCAAAAAACCGATCTTTGCGCATAGAGACCGATGGTTTGTACCAGTTAACACAACGAGAAACAAGAACGATGACACCGCGAGCCTGCACCAATGCATGTACACATGTTGCAGTTAGTGCCAGTTAGTCAAAGTACAAAAAAGAGCTCTACAGGAAAAAAACTAAATCGATACCATCAGTATACTATACTATAGTCTATAGTATTAGTATAATTGTATTTCTCTGTTTTTTTTTTTTTGCGGGGGTAAGACAACCTCATATGTTTAAACACAATGTATTCTACCCATGTGTAACACTGTCTGAAGCGTAGCGTGCAAGCCCTGCGTTTGCCCTTCCCAGGGGGGTTCCGGTGGTCCAAACAGCGGGCTCCGGTGACCAAACAGCGAGTCGGTATACCCAGAAGGAAGTGGAGCCCTCCCCCCAAACAGGGGGATGGTGATGCCTAAACTACAGATCATTTTCATGGTCTATTCTTCATGGTTATGCATGGTTATTGGCCGTTATTGGCCACAATCGCTCTCTTCGAGCGCCGTCGCTTTTCTCGCTTGCTTGCCCCTTGTACTCTCGCTTGCTTTGCAGGTTTTTTTCTTCACCGACCTGAACAGATGCCGCGAAGAACTTGCAGGGGTCCACAGGTGGTTCTTTCGGACGTGATCCTCCAAACTGATGAGTGTTTCGCCACAGTCCGAAGCCCCAAACGGCGGGACCGGAGATGGACCCAGCTGTGGCGGACGACTGCAGCGGTGGCGGTCGGCCGGTGGAAGCAGCGGCCGGGCCGGTGGCGGGAATCGAGTCGGGTCGGAATGCGGCGGAGCAGCGTACATGGCGAGTGGTCAAGGTGTACCCTCAGTCTTTGTTCGCATATTGGCCTCAGTGAAAGACAAACCGAGGAGCATGGCCTCTCGGAGCCAAAGGACTGTTCCACCGAGGGCAATTCTCTCCAACCCCCCAAAGGTTGGTATATCTATGATGAAGGTAATTGAAGAAGACTGGGTGCCGTGCACGTGAAGCATAGTGAAGCATGGACCAACACCAAACTCTCGGTGAACATGCTTCGGTCAGGTTGGCATCAAGAATATTCTTGCACTTAGCACCATTCCTATTTTGTGGTGAACAAGCTGAAGGATGAACCATCCAACTTTTGATTCACGCTTCCCGCTTGTGCGTGTCGTTGAGGAAAGAGGCCCGAAAGGAACATCATGGAAATCACGGCTGCACCATGGCTTAGTGAAGCAAGTCTGAACAGTGTTTTTCTTCAACAGCTTGCTGCTGCACTTGTCTCATTCGCATTCCCAGCTGTTCTTCCTGGGTTTGTGTCCCTTTGTTGGGTCCAGTGCAGTCCAGTAGAGCTGGCAGAGCTGGCAGAGCTGCACAGTAAATTGATGGACCCAACGGTCTGCGGTGCAGAGGACCCGGGCTGCTCACTCGTTGGTTCGTTCGGATGCGACGACGAGGCGGTTCCGGCTGCGGATGCATCGGGTTGGTCCGCCGAGGTGGTCGGCGATTCGGGGTCGAAGTGAGGGTCGTCGCGACGGGAGGGGACGTGCGGTCCGGGTCGAGTACCGAGCCTGGAATGGAAGCTTTGATAGACAACATCAGAATAGAAGGAATGATGGACATCAGTTATGTTTTTTTTTGACAACATCTACCTTAGTGTAGAAAAAGAATCTTGGAATGGAAGGATTCCGTCGACGACGACCCCGAGGGTTCTTCTTTGCAGGTAGCCAATGCTCGAAACCTTTTTTTGTTTCGTGGTTGGGAAGAGCTTTGTGGGCAGAGCAAGGGAACAGCGTGGTCGGACGAATGGGTGGGTGGATATCAGACTGCCGATTGATGATTCATGTTAACAGCGGCATCAATTCGGTCTAACTGGGCTTGTGGGTTCGGATGATGGGAAGTGGACTTGCCAGGCTCAATGACTTGACATCTTAACCTTCTCTCCCAGACCTGCCTTGAACCCCAAAGAGACATCGTTTCTTGCCGGTTCTGACCAAACGAACATCTCAAGATGCATCTTGGTTCCAAGAGAGGATCGAGAAACAAGATATGATTCAAGACAGCCAGACGTCTTCAAGACAGAAATTGTTCAGGGCAGCATAGTTCGACCTTCAAAGGTGGCGTCATCTGAGAAGCTGCGACATCCCCAGATTCGCCGCGAAGCTGCGACCATGTTTTGAATGTGATTATGTGTCTGACTCTGCTCCTTCAAGCTGCATGATTCTGACGCAACCTCCAGTTTCCTGACTTAATGTGGGTGAACCCAATGGATCACCAATGATTGGGATAAAATTGGTGAACTATCATGAGCTATCAGAACATCATCATCATCATCATCACCATCATCACCATCACCATCATCATCATCATCATGATCATCATGTAATAAGCAAAATTGCACACCTGTGTTGACACCTTTGTTCTTTCGTGAGTTGTCACTTCTCCAGTGGATTTGTCAGTATTGTGTAGCAACACGCCAGGCAGATGAGAGACCCAGGATAGCCTCTGATCGAGTAGATGAACAGATGCCTTGCACATCCTTGCCCTTTGACGGAAAGACAGGAGGCACGACGACCTAGGGATGTTGGTCAAATGCGTTTCACCGGACCATCAATCTGAGTACCTCTGACCCCAGTCCAGAGGTACTCAGGTACTCGAAAGGTCTACGTGTTCACGTTGACAGCGTCCGGTGAGCTTATTCCACTGACTTACTCCACGCAGAGGGCGAGAGCTGTGGAGCAGTTGTGGGGCAGTGGGACACCAGCGCCTGACATTGATGCTGGGCGTCCCAGTGTGCACGCCGACACTCGCAGACAGGGACCACGACTGGGGTGACATGGGCAGAACATGGTGTTTTGATGTTTAATAGTTTGGCTTTCAAGGCTGACTGGAGAAGCATCACAAGAAGCATCACGAAGGTGTAGCAAAAAGTTCATGCGTTAAGTTATCCTGAGAATTATTTTTGACTTAGTGGTCGTAGCTGGAGGGTGAGCAGAACTCCTGAACACCTCATTCTCATTTGCTGCTTGCATCAAGTGGGAGGGCCACTATAAAATCATATAAAATCTATAAATCGAGGGTGCACACTGGGCAATTCAGCCTTTAAGCTTTGCCTGCGAATTGGTCCGGCCTGGCCAACACGGCGTGCATTGTGCCGTTGTGCCGTGGTACCGGCTCCCGAAAAGACGGATGAGGATGACGCCGTCTTCATCCAAACGAGCAGTTACAGCCGTCAAAGCGTCAAACAACGGATGCCTCCAAAGAGCAGCTGTCTTCAGAACGATGGACACAGTGGACCTTGGATGAACTTGTTTCTTCAATTCCATTGAGCTCACTGGGAAGGACGACTTTTTTGGAAACACTCAGTGTTCAACGAGCATGTCTCCTGGTTTGACAGAAGGGACGAGCGACACGCAGCGACTCGCGTGCGACTCGCGTGCGACTCGCGTGCAGCTTCTCCGCAGTTTTTGACTCTATAGGTACCTGTTGACCACGTAAAGACTCGAAGAACTTCGGTTTGCTTTCGCTCCAGTCCGACAGAGCTCCCCAAACAATCACGCAGTACTGTATGGTACTATAGGGTACTGAAACGCACCGAAGTCACCAGAGGTCCGGGTTTGTTTGATTTAAAGCAATTTGCTGGGCCATGGGGAACTTGAGCACATGCTGCCACTCGAACGAAGCTGAGAAAGCTGAGCAAGTTGAGGCTGGCACACACGGGTGTCTTAAGCCCTCCGAGCCACCCCTCGCCAGTGAAGGGCTCAGCCAGGGCGAGCCAATCGATGCCGTGACGTCTGGCCATCTCTCTGAGGGTACCTTGACGAGGGATCTCACGCGAAGTGCGATGTCCCCGGAACTGCTGCGCGGGGTCGAGTTGCGCAGGACCTTGCGGAAGCGAGGCATGATCTGGAGGTACAAGCCCACGGACTTGAGCCTGGAGCAACGAGGAGAGCTGTACGAACACTCGACACACGTTCAGCGCCTTGATATCTTTCTGTCCCACAGCTGGATGACAGCTGGAAGATGGAAATACATCTCCCTTCTTTGTCAGTTTGGTTGGCGCTCCATGTTGATGGCATGGGTCCTGGGCATTCTCCTCGCATTCCTGCTATGCTTGTTGGATGTTCTTCCTCAATTTCTGCACGTGAGTATCATTGCCACCGATGACCCTTATCCTGCAAGCTGTTGGCTCATGATCTTCGGCTGGACTTTTGCCCTTGCCGGCTTGCTTCTCGCACCCTACCAGCCCCCCTGCCGCTTCGTTCGCAGCTCGGAGCTCTGCTTCCTGGATGCGGTTTGTGTTCATCAGGCAGACCCCCTGCTGATGCGCCAGGGGATCGACAACATCGTGGGCTTTTTGGAAGCCTCTAAAGAGTTGAGAGTGCTATGGAGTCCTCCCTACCTCTCCAGGCCCCGCGCGCGCGGAGTGGAGTGCGGCGAGAGCGGCGAGAGGACCGCGAGCTGGATGTGTTTGTTGGGTTGGGAATGAGGTCGTGAAGGATGAACGGTGCCAGTGGGAAGTGAACTGAGTGAACTCACTGTAGCTGGCTAGTGACTTAGGGAGGGGTCAATCATGTTTACTGTAGCTGTCACTGTTTACATTTGTTCACGTAATTACCCTTTTGGATTCGTTTGGGAGGCATTGGTTCCTTTCTTCTTTCAAACAGACCTTGCAAGGGGATCCCGACGAAGGGGAAGAAGTGCATGTTTGGCCATGCATTGAAGGGTTCGTAGCGTGGCGGCTGGACCAGATGGTTGGTTTCCTTACGAAAAGATCTCAGAACTTCTGATATTTTGATCTGGAATGTGACTTTTTCCCCACCTGTCAGGTGAGGGTTGTTAGATTTTATGTCAGCCCCATCTCCTCCTCCTCCTCCTTCTTCTCCCCTCCTTCTTCTCCTCCGCCGGACCTCAACCACGATCATCCACGCCCAGTGTTCCCTGCCGGACCTCAACCACGACCATCCACGCCCAGTGTTCCCTGCCGGACCTCAACCACAACCATCCGCGCCCAGTGTTCCCCGCCGGACCTCAACCACGACCATCCCCGCCCAGTGTTCCCTGCCAGACCTCAACCACGACCATCCGCGCCTAGTGTTCCCTGCCAGACCTCACCCACGACCATCCGCGCCCAGTGTTCCCCGCCGGGCCTCAACCACAACCATCCGCGCCTAGTGTTCCCTGCCAGACCTCAACCACGACCATCCGCGCCCAGTGCTCCCCGCCGGACCTCAACACACAGTTACAAGCAGGACAACAAACACACAACCACAAACACACAACCACAAACACAACCAGAAGCACACAATCACAAACACACAACCACAAACACACAACCACAAACACACAACCAGAAGCACACAACCACAAACACACAACCACAAACACAATCAGAAACACAATCACAAACACACAACCACAAACACAATCAGAAACACAATCACAAACACACAACTAGGCATGTCCAAAGCCCTCTCCAGTCATGTTCCAACTTAGTAAGGGCGGCTGCTTGTAGCCGCCCTTGTGCACAGCATCTAGTGTATGTTAGCATTAGATTCCCAAGAGGCCTACACAAAGGTGTGTGAAAGATGAACCTCAACAATCTCGATCACAATCGCTCTGTGCTAACTCTTTTTTTTCATGAGCGAACCCAATCCATTGCCAATCCATAGCTCCAGAGGCCACCTGCCAGCAGAGATTAAATCAACAGTGTTGCAAACACACTCTATTCGTCGACATTCACAAAGCTCACAAAGCAAATTTTTGGTGATCACAGTGGCCAAACATGACTGCACAAATCACAGCATAACTGCACAAAGTAAGAAGCTTATCACAGCTTCTAGATCTCTCTTTTTTTGGCCATTGTGCTGTGCGGCGGTCTTTGGTCTTGGGTGTCCTTGCATTGCAGCATTGTAGCTTGTGTCCTTTGATGGCACGATCAAAAAAACATATGTTTCTGTTCACTTCCAAGCATAGTCTTTGGAATTAAACTTAGTTCGAAAGATCAACATTAGTAACATATTGGCATCTTCTTAGAACTCAAGCTCAGCAAAGTTGGTAACTAATCGTCGTGCTGAATCATGCTATGCGTTTTGCACGGGGATCGCACTGTTTGTTTATTGGCTGTCAATTGTCAATTGGCTGTTGGCCCTATTGGCTATTGACAATGGATTCTCGACCCAATGGCAAACCGGTGGATCAATAAACAAAACAAGAACTAGTTTTTTTTCTCCATAAGAACAGTGTCGCAGCTCTATCGGATCCCTCTATCAAGTATCCAGTGTGCTAGCAACTCGTACCGGTGGAAAACACGTGGATGTTTGTTACATTGTTTAAGTTTTAATGTTTGAGGATTTGAGGAAAGTGTCAAGCAAAACGCATATGACGGCATATGCCTGTGAGACCCCTCCTGGGTACTTGAGTGAACGATGGCGACGCACGCGCGTCCAAAAAAAAACAGCCACAAGGCTCAGACTATCACGACATCATAGGATTTTACAGTTTACAGTTAGTTTCAACATTCATTCAACTTCACCATCGCCAAAGTCCAAGACAAACTCCAGGTGGGGTCCATCCATCACTGTGGATTGTTCAGTAGATGTTGACCTACAGAACCAAGTGTTTCGCGTTTTTGTTGACACGAACACGCTTGCTAGCTTCAGACGATCCACCAGCTGAATTCGAAGCTTTCATTGCAGCAGTCCCTCCGAGCATCACCTTGTCCGACCCAGCCAATGACGCGGCATCAAAGGATCGCTTGGTGCCTCGTTTGGAAGATTTGCAATCTTCGTATGGCCTGAGCGACAAACAAAGGGAAAACATAGGCCATGGGCTAGCTATGTGTCAACCAATCAATTCAAAACATATAGAATCTATAGAGCGGAGTGCGGACAGATTCAGAGATTTATGTAAAATGCGCAATGCAATGCACATCAATCCGTCAAAGAGTTCTGAGTTCAGCAGTGGTGACTCAGTTTTTACTTGATTCGAGTCTATATATATATATTATTAATATTATATATAATATATATATAAATTGTTAAGTTGTTCCTGTTCCTTTATCAAACCAACCCTGGGCCCTGGGCCCTGGGCCCATGGGCCCATGGATGACTCTCTTTTGTTTTCTATATATAATTATTTTACATTTTTACACCTGGCCCTAACCCCCTTTGGTTCAAGGAGCAAATGATCACGGACCAGTACAGCGTAGACCTTGTTGCCAATCTTCTTCACAACCACAGCTGTGCCAGGGTGGTCATTGAACTTCAAGTATGTCTTCTGATACTTCACTGTGTAGCCTTGAAACTGGACCTGTGAATACAGCCCCACGTGAGTGTCCTGCTCCACAACCAACGTTGGATGTTCCACATCGGATGGTGGAATCATCCACGCCGGACATACAACCTCTCCATCAGCGGAATGATATTGTTGACCAGAAAGCCAACATGAAATGCCCACAGGATCCTCTGCCAATCGTAGAGGCACACCTGGAAACTGTAAGCAACATACTGACATAAAACTTGCGCAAGTTCCAGGTTCCAAACAAACAAATGTGGATTGGCTTCGGCTTCGAATCAAAGGTTGACTAGAGAAAACATTATTGGTGATTTGGATCACTACGGCTACGGGCTTTAGCCAGATAAAACATATCAAAAAACAGCCTAAAGTCAAATTTCAGTGCGACTCCTCAAAAGACACCACAGAATGAACTGGTGCGTTGTTTTCGACAATATCTTGCCTATGGCTGAGCCATCACTGTTGGCAACCTCCATGCCAAGGTGGTAGATGATCTTTGGAAGCTTTGCATTTGGAAAGCTCGGTGGATGTGTGCCTTGGTTAGTGAAGAGTGAAGAGTGAAGATGATCCGCTAGAGCCACTGGCCAAGTTATGTCCAAGTTCCATTGGAAAGGCAGGCTGAAAGGAAAACAAAATTCAAATGATTTGACGTGACAGACTGTGTAGAGTTCAAAACTGTTGAACGGAGTTCTTTCTTTCTTGTTTGTGTCACTTTGTGTCTGCAAAGTGTTAGCGATTGAACTTGCGTGCACGGTGCAAACATCTCCCCAGAAGTGAGTTCTAAATTTCTCCCGGAACTCCTGGGTCATCACGTTCTCCAAAAACTCCTTGACAGGCTCGTTTTCCTTCATGTCGCCAATCATATTGAGGATGTACTCAGTTGATTCCAACTCGAGCAGCACATCCGTTGATGTCAAAATTTTGTTGCCCTTCTCCTGCCGGTTCACATTGAAGACCACAGTAGCTGCGGAGCCAGAATCAGAATCCAATTTCCTGTCCATGACAGGACATGGATGTGTTGAAGCCGCCTGGTGTTTGAATCAAAGGATGTGATGACAGCAGTAGTGATGTAGTGGCAGTTGATCTACAAGATGCACATACATACACTTACATACACAGTAGTGACAGTGACAAGTAGGAAGTAGAACTAGTGAACTAGTGTATATAATATATATATATATAGTATATAGGCTATGAGTCTATGAGTCACCTAGGCAAGTACAACATAATGGACATAGTAACATAGTACATAGACGAACACAAAGAAACCAAACACACACACACATCAAAACAAATCAACCAAACATGTTTTAAAGAAATGCATACTGACTGACTGGTTGTATATGTCTTAGTTTTTCTATTTGTCCACTGTCATGTCATGAGTCATTTGTGTCATTTGTTCAAAGTGTTGAAGTTACCAGTTACCACCTGTCACGATTGCCATTAAATGCCTGAATATTGGAGACACAAAAACACAAAGAAACAATGAAGTATGAATCAAAGAACGAGAAGATGCGAGATAACTAGAGACTAGAGGTCCTGCAAGTCAAAGTCATGTCGGCAGTGAGGGTTGCTCTCAAAGCCATCAATGCCTCTGATGATTTCAATACCGTTGAAACGTCGCCTTCCTTCTTGAAGTCCTTCTGAATTCCATATTCGCTGAGCCGTTCTTGAGATGTCAGCGTGCCGTCAAGGGAGTCAGTGAGGTCTGTCTTCTCATCCACCTTCGCTTTCTCCTCTTTGGCAGCAGGCACAGTTACCACATCGGTCACATCTGCAATCTTGAAGGACCCGTGTTTGATCAAAGCTTGAATGGCCGCTCCATAGACAGCAGCAAGGGTCCCAGCATCACATAGATTGCAAATCATGTCCATTTCATAGAGCAGTGACACATGCTTCTTGATGCGATCACGCAAGTTGATCTGTGAGTACATCGACCGGTTGGCGAGATTATCCAACAACAACTGGATCATGTACTCAGCTCTGGGATGGATCAGCTTCGTAATGGTGACCGGCTGCAAGACTGAGGTCAACATCGCATGTTTCTGATGTGAAGTAATCTCTTCAGGCAGACCTCCCTTGTTTTCGCTTTGAAATCTGAAGAGCTTGAAGCC